TATTATCCTGTCTTAACATCCCATAAACGGATAGACTTATCTACACTACCAGATGCTAATGTAGTACCATCAGGAGAGTAACAAATTGAAGTAACTAACTAAGAATGACCATCTAATTTGGCTTTTTATTATCCTGTCTTCACATCCCATAAACGGATAGATTTATCAGCACTACCAGATGCTAATGTAGTACCATTAGGAGAGTAGCACATTGACTTAACACATTCTTCATGACCATCTAATTTGGCTTTTTATAATCCTGTCTTAACATCCCATAAACAGATAGACTTATCATCACTACCAGATGCTAATGTGGTACCATCAGGAGAGTAAAGAATTGAATAAACACAAATTGAATGACGATCTATTTTGGCCTTATATTATCCTGTCTTAACATCCCATAAACGGATAGAATTATCATTACTAATTGATGCTAATGTAGTACCATCTGGAGAGTAACAAATTGAATTAATACAATTTGAATGACCATCGAATTTGGCTTTTTATAATCCTGTCTTAACATCCCATAAACAGATAGACTTATCATCACTACCAGATGCTAATGTAGTGCCATCTGGAGAGTATTTGGCTGAAGTAACAGTTGATGAATGACCAATCAATTTAGAAAATTATTTTCCTTTTTTAAGATTCCATAAATATACAAAATTTCCACTGCAGAAAGCTATTGTACTAGAATTATGTGAGAAGCATACTGATTTAATTTTTTCCTTAAATTTGATATTAGACTTAACTTTTCCTGTTTTAACATTCCACATTATAATCGAATTATCATCACTACAAGAAATTAATAATTTACCATTTGGAGAATAGCATACCTAATTGACACTTCCATGATGACCATCTAATTTATTTAACTCATATATTTTGATATTTTTCCATTTACAATTAAACAATTAAGCTTAATTCAAGTTCATTCCACTAATATCTACATTGTCAAATTCTGATCCATTGAATATGCATCTTACAAAATTCCCACCAACTAAAGAGGTATTTCTTATCCTGATATTCTCAAAACTTTATTCCCTCAAATCCACTTTCATTTAAACTAGCAAATGAAGAGAATTCGATCCACACCAAATATAGGTCTCATCTAAAGCAGTCAGATGAACTAAAAATTTTAGGAATTCTATTATCTTCTTATTCAATGATATTTTTGTGATTAGATCCTTTTTAAATTCTTCATAATCATCCATAGAGTAATTCTGTGAATTAAAGTCATGATCCATAACTTTTTGAGGACATCCGTTATTCTCTTAATGTTCTTCTCTTATTTGATAGTCTATTCTTTATCAAGCGGAGATAAATTTTCTTCCTTTTATCTTT